CACACAACCTCCTCCATAAAAATATCTGGCTGATATTTTGACGAGATATTATCGTTTTTGATGACGTGGCATTACTGTGACACGTGTAAAAGCGACGCCATGTGGACCTTTCTCCTTCCCACCTTCTCTCTCTCTTAAGCTCTCCTTTTGGCTTTTTTTTTTGCAGACGAACAATTTTCTCCTCAGATTTTTTTTTTTCCCTTCTTCTTTGGGATTTTTCGAGAAACGATGGAGAACGATTACAGGGTGATGAATATTGTTTCTCTGGAGATGGATCGTGATGATGCGGCTGAGTCGACTCTATCGAACTCGTTCGATTCCGGTCTTACGGTTGATAACTCGCGTGGTGATGCAGATTCGAAACTGGTAACATAAAAAATCTCCTCTTTAGTTTCTGGGTCTCGTTTGATAATGGAGATTCATCGAATTTGACCTTAAACTTTATTCGTTTCCTCTCTGTGGATTTCATCTTTTGATTACCCTGTCGCGATTTTAGCTATTTCCGTGATGAAATAAGTAAGCCAATTATCGATTTGGGAAGCTAATTTATTGGAGGAAACTTTAGATCTGTTGCTACGAGTGGGTTATACTCATTAATTTCAAGGAAAAATCTTGTCTTTGATTTGGTATATGTTTGTAAATCTTTGACTCTCCAAAAAAAAAACACAGATGTTGTAAATTGTCTTGTTCAACAATTTGAGATCTATAACTAATCCTTTTGCAATGGCCAAATCGAAAAGTCCTAGCTTTAAACTAATCGAGTAACTAGAGTTGGCGTTTGTTTGGCTCAGTCTTATCAATCCTGTATGAGAGAACCCTGATTGTGTCATTTGTGTTGTAAATTTGTTTTAATTTCTTAGACAAGTTTTGTTCTTGCGGAATTGATTCTCATCATTGTCGGTCTGTTTATGCAGGATGGTTGGACGAATGAGAGACACAACTCGTATCTTGATTATTTAGAGAACTCGTTTGTTACGCAACTGTATTCATTGCTTGGAGGAGGAGGAGAGACTCAGAGATTGTCTAGAACTCGTGATGTGAAGTCTAACTCTCAGAAATCGACTCATCAGGTTTGGACTTTCTTACTCTTTTCTTCTTTGACCTCATTTTGTTTTGTAAACCTCTCTTGTGAAACTTACGAAATCTTCTCGTTTTTTTTGCAGTTTACGGTACTACAAAATGGATGGTTGCACAAGGTTAACTTTGGAAACAAACGAGCTCATTTGGGGAAAAATTCATCGCGAAGCAATCCTGCAAGTCCCAATGGAGATTACACCATGGGAACTGCTGTCTTATGCAATGAGGAAACCGAACACTCTGGTAATAGGGCTTATCCAGCTCAAAGCTCTGCAGGTAAACATTTGCTTAGCCTATAGTTTAATTGAACTCCTCTTAGGAGTTATATGTTTGTCATCTTCTCCATTTTTGGTACCCAATTAGACTATTTATGTTCAACTAGGGTGATAATTTCGATTAGAAACAATTAAGGTTAACCCTGCGTTGGCTTTTAGAAGGCTTTTGCTGCAGAAACATAAAGTTGATATGGCACGAGGAGAATCAAAGAAATAATTGTTCCTGCGTATGAGATCCGGTCTGATATCTATTTATCCCCCGACCTATACGTGGATGTGTTTTAGTTTAGAACTTGTGTGCTCATCTGAGGCCAATAAAAATTTGTTTTCAGTCTAAAGTCTAAACTCCAGCCTCCATTGTTTTTTTAATATTTTCTCCAGAGGCGTCAGGGCAGAATTTCAGAGAAGAAGAAGAGAAAGGATGTGATTCAAAGGTGACCAGAAAACGCAAAAGAGGAGCAAATTATGATGATAGTTCATTGAAAGAGGATCAGGTAAACATATAAAATTTACAACACACATTTACCAAACAAACTTCACTTGTGTTGCTAAAGAGAGGCTACTACATATTTTCAGGTTGTGCCGTAACAAAGGTGAAATCAGACAAGGCATGCAAACAGGAAAGTGTAGATGAATTACTATGAATGAATAGAGAGATGAAAGAATAGGAAAGTGTGGGTTGGAGAATGTGGAAAGGGGTTTTGTTTTCTTGTATAGAATGAGGCTAAAGAGAGCCTTATAAAGAAATCAAACGGGATGATTGTAGGATTGGTGTTTGTTTTGTTAAATTTTTGTCTATGTTAACTAGGGGAAGAAATAGTATTATTAGCATATGATCGGCATTTCTTCCGTAGCTTTTCAATCTTTAATTCTTTCTTTTCATATGTATCCTC